GTGAGAGTCCGGCCAAGGCACTACTAAGCAGGATTACTGAAATAAAATCCCATGGTTACGTCACAAAAGTGAGTGGGAAGGGAAAAAAAATGAGCAGAGGACGCTGTCAGAAAAGATGGGAGGCACGGCCTGCCTCATGCCTGTCAGGAAATCTCGATTTCTAAAGAGAAATGGCCCATGAGAACAGGTCAGGATGGGAACGTCCTTTCTTTACAGAGGCCAGGTGATGTTTCCAGAATGAAACCAGGGCTGGGGGCTTTCCCAGGGGTCTCCTCCCTGTTCACTCGTTCACTAGCTGTTTCCCCAGCTTGTAGACGTTAAAGTCAGGAAGAAAACTCAGTAAAGCATGCTTCAAGAGTTTCCAATCTAGGTTACGAAGAGGCCTAGGCAAGTGGAAATCTTCAAAACATAAAATATGATGCCGATAAAACAAAACCTAGACCTGAACCTGATCTGGCTGCCTCCAGGTGGGGTCTTTCTGTTTTTAAGCCCTGCTGAGGAAGGAAATCAGTCCTGAAGATTCATTGGAAGGACTGATGCTAAAGCTGAAACTCCAATACTTTGGCCACCTGATGCGAAGAACTGACTCATTGGAAAAGACCCTGATGCTGGAAAGATTGAAGGCAGGAGGAGAAGGGGATGACAGAGGATGAGATGGTTGGATGGCATCACCAACTCAATGGATATGAGTTTGGGTAAACTCCGGGAGCTGGTGATGGACAGGGAGGCCTGGCCTGCCGCAGTCCATGGGGTCACAAAGAGTCAGACACGACTGAAGCAACTGAATTGAATTGAACTGAGGGTTTCCACGAGACCAGGCAAATGACAGGACACGGTAGGTGCCCAGTTAACTACAATGTGTGTTTCTTATTTTTATCTTGTTTGTACAGAAAATAGGATAATCCTTGGGGATGCAAGAGAGGAAAGAGTGAGAGAAGGGAAGGTGAAGTTGTGGTCCTCTCCTTTTAGGAAAATATGGGAGGGTCCACTTCAAGGCAATAGGATTTAATCAGTGACATTTCCTTAAACCCACCTACTTATGCTCTATTAATCTATGACAAAATAGGCAAGAGTACATATGGAGAAAAAATGATTTCTTCAATAAGTGGTTCTGGGAAAACTGGACAGCTACAGTTTTCCCAGGTAAGAGAATGAAATTAGAACATTCTCTAACACATATACAAATATAAAGTCAAAATTGACTAAAGACCTAAATGTAAGACCAGAATCTATAAAACTCCTAGAATAAAACATAGGCAGGACAACCTTTGACATAAATGGCACCAATATTTTCTGGATCTGTTTCCTAGAGTAATGCAAATAAAAATAAAAATTAACAAATTTGACCTAATTAAACTTAAAAGCTTCTGCACAGCAGAGGAAACCCTAACTAAAATGAAACGACAACCTATAGAACGGGGGAAATATCTGGAAACCAAGCAGCCAATAAGGGATTAATTTCCAAAATATACAAACAGCTCATACAGCACAATGTCAAAGAAACAAACAACCCAATCAAAAGGTGGGGAGAAGATCTAAACAGACACTTTTCCAAAGAAGATATACAGATGGCCTGAAAGTACATGAAAAGACGCTCAATACTGCTAATTACTAGAGAAATGCAAATCAAAACTACAATGAGGTATTACCTCACACTGGTCAAAATGGCCATCATCAGAAAGTCTACAAAAAATAATGCTGGAGAGGGTGTGGGAATATAAATTGGTGCAGCTACTATGGAGAACAGTATGGAGGTTCCTTAAAAAAACTAAAAGCAGAGTTACACAAGCTCCCACTCCTGGGCCAGATAAAACTAATTCAAGAAGATACGTGCACCCCATTATCCATAGCAGCACTGTTTACAACAGTCAAGACACCTAGGCAACCTAAGGTGAATGGATAAAGGTACGGTATCTCGACACAATGGAATATTACTCAGCCATAAAAAGAATGAAATAATGGCATTTGCAGCTACAGAGATGAACCTAGGGGTGATATACTAAGTCAGTCAGAAAGAGAAAGACCAATACCATATGGGATCAGTTACACGTGGCATCTAAAAAAAATGTTACAAATGAACTTATTTACAAAACAGAAAGAGACTCACAGACATAGAAAACAAACTGGTCACTACCAGAGAGGGAAGGGGAGGAGAGAAAAGTTAGGAGTTTGGGGTTAACAGATACACATACTATACATAAGAAAGATAATCAACAGGTAAATTCAATATAGCACAGTATATTCAGTTATAAATATATGTATATTATTCAATGCATATATGTTATTCATATATATATATTTATATAAAACACTGAATCACTTTGCTGTACACCTGAAACTAACACAAAATCGCAAATTAACTATAATTCAATTTAAAAAAAAAATTAAGATGCTCTTGATTAGGCCCTGAGTCTTGGGGCTGCATGGCCTTGACATTTCCACTGGAAGACTGTATAAAAGAGCCCCATCCTACACAGGTGATGATAAAGGATGGGGTTCCACATCCCTCCCAGCGGTTGAATTGAGAAACCTTGATTTCCCATGAATTTTCCATCGAAGTTAAAAATAAACACCCACTCACTGACTCGATAACACAATTCTTTAGGCAGATCATTAGCAGATGGGTCTTGGGTTGATTTCCTCTAGAAACCTCAAGGTGAGAACTATTCCTTAGGTGTACTTTGGCGATATGCACGTGTGCTGAGCATCTGCTGGACTGTTTCAGGCTACTGAGACGGGCCACGTGGTCGGAGCTGAGGAAACCCGGCGTCCTCTGCATGCCTGGCTCTCCCGGGGAAGCCACGGAGAGAAGCGCTGATGAAACACACAGGGACCTGCCGTCCTCACAGATGCCGCCACGTGACTCGCTGCACTCTTTTTGCCACATGAAAATCTACAAGGATGCATCTGAAAATTGTCCTTACAGAAATAGAAGGCTTTGTGGCTTATTATTTAATCAAACACTGTTAGATAATCCTAAGTAGGAACAGATAAAACCAAATGCATCCAATAGGGAGCAGAGAGTCGCAGGGGATGGCTGTAAAATCAGAAGAAAAAGGGAAGGGGAATAAACGGGATTAGAGAGTAATAACCAAACCATACATGGGATGCCCATGAGTACGGCCTGTTTTGCTTTATTTCCCGAATGGAGTAAAATGAGAGCTGGTGTGGGTCCCTCAGCAGAGTAGGACACCCCACATTTTCTCTGGTTGCCTTTAGGGTCATTTGCTGCTAGCCTGCATTACAGAAGAGGATTCTATTTTACCTTAGAAAGCTCCTAAACATCAGAATTTAAATAGGATTTGAACACTTTATTTTTAATGAGAAGAATAAATACATATCGAGTACATGGTGTTAACTTTTCAGACTTATTTTTTATTGTTCAATTTTCCTGTGTTTCCTTCCACTCATTGATTTAAAGCAATTATTAAGAAGACATGAGTTCACTTTTTTCCTTATTAATTCATTATATTCTTACTTTATAAAATTCGCATTTGTGTCCTATTATACTTAAATACATGGGCGTCCCTTGTAGCCCAGCTGGTAAAGAATCTGCTGGCAATGTAGGAGACCCCAGTTCAATTCCTGGGTCCGGAAGATCCGCTGGAGAAGGGACAGGCTCCCCACTCCAGGATTCTTGGGCTTCCCTGGTGGCTCAGATGGTAAAGAATCTGCCTGCAATGAGGGAGACCTGGGTTTGATCCCTGGGTTGGGAAGATTCCCTGGAAGAGGGCATGGCAACCCACTGCAATATTCTTGCCTGGAAAAGTCCATGGATAGGGGAACCTAGTGGGCTACAGTCCACGGGGTCCTAAAGAGCTGGACACGACCGAGCGACTAAGCACACAGCACATACTTAAATTTACAGTACTGTCTAGATTAACTTCTTAATTATTAAAACCTGGAATGTACAAAGCTGAAAGCCATTTGTCCATATGGAAACATGTCTGTTTTTCAATATCAGGTAGAACTTATATTTTGTTTCTAAAATTTGGAAGTATTTATTCTCCACCCTTTCCCAGATAGCACAAAGTGGCTCTAGCTGAAAATATCTCCCCAGTGAACTAGCTTATTCAACTTAGTCATGGGCTGAAAATTCTTAAGGTATTAAGATGACAAACTCATCTACTGTCAAATGAAATTCTTTTTTTTGACATGTTGTTTTTTGTCATGTTTACTGACTCTTTCATGCAATTCTTAAAATTTCTTAATGAATGTAAGCATATGACTTTATAGCAAATTTCTTTCCAATAAAATGTTTGAACAAGACCATTTGATAAAGGGCTTCCCTCTTAGCTCAGTAAGTAAAGAATCTGCCTGCAATGCAGGAGATCCAAGCTCGAACTCTGGGTTGGGAAGATCCCCTGGGGATGGAAATGGCAACCCACTCTGGTATTCTTCCCTAGAGAATCCCATGCTCAGGGAAGCCTGACAGGCTACCGTCCATGGGGTCGAAGAGTTGGACATAACTTGGCAATGATACCACCACCATTTAATAAAAAAAATCCTCACTCTGTATCACTCATTTCCACAAAGGTTTCTATTTCTCATCATCAAGAAGAAATATATAATAATTTGAGTGGCTTTCATCTGAATGATCTCAAATAACAAAATTACCTTTTAAAAAATCTTATACTAGACAAAAAGCAGAATCCAATTCACTAAACTTTAAAGGCACACGTGGACACAGCTGAATTAGACAAGGGAGCCCAAGTTCTCAAGGGACACTTGGGACCACTGCTCAGACACTCTGTCTCTGGAAGAGTTAAGGAGCCCTGGGCTCCTCATCAGCACAAGATGAGGGCCGGTATAGCGTGATGAGGATCAGGGCATGTGATGGGGACCAGAGTGTGTGACGGGGACCAGGGGGTGTGATGGGGACCAGGGCATGTTAAGAAGACCAGGGCTAGGTGTTGAAGACTGGAGCAGTGTGTCCCATGGCTCGAAGATGCCTGGCACCTCTGTGCCCATCACTAGGTCAACGGTGGGACGTGACTTACCTCCTCCACAGGAGACAGAGCACTCGGAACGGATGGTTGCCCACGTGTAGCTGGGCTGGGCTCCAAGCTTCTTCTCAACCCCCAACCTTGGCATGGAGTATTCCCAGGCAATGCCTGGGTTCCTTCCCTGAAACAGAAGCTACAAAATAAAAAAGGGAAAGAGAAAATGAGTTATAGCAGGACCAATATAGAGTAGGTAACTTGGGATTCCCTGATGACTCAGCTGGTAAAGAATCTGCCTGCAGTGTGGGAGACCTGGGTTCGATCCTTGGGCTGGGAAGATCCCCTGGAGGAGGGCATGGCAACCCACTCCAGTATTCTTGCCTGGAGAACCCCCATAGACAGGGGAGCCTGGCAGGCTATAGTCCATGGGGTCACAAAAAGTCAGACATGACCGAGCAACTAAGCACAGCACAGTACCAACATATAGAAGGTAACTTGTTTTAAGCTCTTGAAACATTAGTTATGTCAATAAAAAGATGATTGTAATATTAAACTAGACTCAAATACATCTATAAAAATACACAGACATTTGATTCTTTTTGCTGTATGCAGTATTCCCTGCACAGTCTTTGCAATCTAACAAAGGCATCTGGTTCTTTCCCTGGGTGTTTCTTGGCAAGCGAGCCCCAGCCATCCTCCCCAGCTGAGCAAATCAGAAAGTGATACCTAAAAAGCACCTTCACAATTCCTAGTGAGTTCTAAACAACCAACAATTGAGTGCATCTCTTCTCTGCAGGATGGGAGCTAACTCTGAGTCCTTCCTCCGGTGACGGGATGCAGAAATGTTCTGCTTACTGACATGTCCCGTGTGAGCCCAGGAGGAAAGATGCCCTCTCAGCCTGGGCATACCTGTGAGCCACGCTTAGCACATGAATTCGCACTTGAACTCTTCACCTCCTAGCTGGAAACCCAACCACATGGACCAATTACCTTTTCTTCTTAAAGGTATCTGATTCCTTGATCTCAATGAGAGGCTTTTTTTGGGGGGGGGGACCTCACCATTAGCCTGTTACTAGAAACCCAGTTTCTGAAGCCTTCACTGCTTCTTAATGGGAAGGTCCAGTGGATGAAGTCACCGGACCTTCCCTGACTCCCCAGCAACACAGTCCCGTCCCCGACAACACAGCTCAAGTCTAGTTGGGGAAGATGCTGTAGGGATAAGCCCTGGACAGGTGGCCGCACTGCAGGCCTTAGATCTGCTCTTCCACCTGACATTCTGAATTAGAAATGGGTTCCCAGTAAGCCTCCATCACTTTCAACCCTGACCTGAGTGTTGAAGCTAAAAGGGGCTTCCCAGGTAAAGAACCTGCCTGCCAATGCAGGAGATGAGGCTTAATCTCTGGGTCAGGAAGATCCCCTGGAGGAGGAAATGGTAACCCACTCTAGTACTCTTGCCTGGGAAATCCCATGGACAGAGGAGCTTGGTGGGCTACAGTCCATGGGGTCCCAATGAGTCAGACACGACTGAGCACACATGCGCATTAAAGCTAAAAATGAAAAAAAAAAGCCTCAGATGATGGGAGAGAAATAACCAAGGCAGGAATCCAGGGTGAACACGTCTATAAAGGGGAGGTGGGAGCAGTCCCAGATCGACAGGGGAGACGGAGGTGGGACGTGTGGAGATGAGGCATCTCTCAGCAGGATGGAGCTGCCAGGCCCACGCTGCAGGTGGAGGGCACCTGGGGGGTTCACAGCTGCACACACAGGTGCAGGCTGAGGGGGCAACTTCTGAACCAAGTTTTTCGTTTAAATGTGCACAGAAACGTAAAGATGTATGAAATTAGCATGTCCGCTGTGTATTGCCACCTGGTCCCAGGGGGACGAATTATGTTGTTAGAAGTTGCTCACACGTATCTCATGAGCCTGTGCTGTCTTGGGTAGAACACAGAGGGGCTTGTGTAGGAGCTGAGTGTGCAGCCCCCTGCCTGGCGGTGGGTTCTCACCTCACTCCTGTTTCCACTGGACTCGGGAGAATCCTGATCCCGTCCTAAACACAGGCATAGACAGAGCCACCCACAGCGGCCGCTTCTCACAGCCGCAGGGCTTACAGGAGAGAAGCAGGCTTAGGTCACAATCCACTAATAAAGATGGAAAACCCAGGACTGCATGATGTGTGACCTTACACATCTCATCACGCGTCTAGAGACGAAAGACGAGTGGTCCACTGGCCCACACAGTCTGTGCACTGATTAGTCTTGTTTCCGAGACACTATCTAACTGCAAACAATTTTCTGTGGGTGTGATATTTCGCCAACATAGCCTGGAACCTACAGGAATGCCCCAAGACCGCCCCCGTCCGAGCCCTGAGAGTAAGAGGCTGGGGTTTACCTCCACGATCAGGGTTTCGTTGGTTGGTCCAGGAGAGGTTAAGCTCTCAGGCTCCTTGTGGGAACGTCTGTAGTCAAAGGTGGTTCCTGAAAACTTGTACTGGCCGGGCCAGTCCACTGCCCAGCGTCCGTTCAGGTAGTACTTTTTGAGTGCATTTCGCACAGAAATGTAGGAGGTAGATACATTCGTTTCATAGATGCGGATGCTCCGGGCTCCGGAGGGAATGGTGACCACCTGGTAATACTCTGAGCAGAGGAAACCGGAGGGGAGAGGGCAGTGTTTCAGCAGCGCAGGGCCAACCCCAGTGCCCGCGGCTCTCTGTGACCAACCCTTGGGGAGCAGAGTTTGGAACCTGGAGGTCTAATTTGGCCATCCAGTTCCATGAATCCTATAAAGGAGTTGTTTTTTTTTTTTAAATTGGAGCAGAGCTATTGTAATATTCATGGTTTCTAAGAACCGCTTTAATTGAAATAACCCAGCAACCGCTTCTAACCAAAACAGAAGGTCTGAGAAGCAAAGCAGGCCAGGAGTCACATAGGGCTCTCTGCCTATTGGCTATTCTCATTACGCCCCGCTCCTTCCCACCGAGGGTCCCTTTCCATCTCTGCTCAGCGGGCGGGCGGACCCCGCGGGCGGACTCACGGTTGGCGCGGTGCTGCTTGGCGTACAGGCCCTTGTGCGTCGTGCAGCTGGAGTTATTGCCCCGGCACATGCCACAGGCATCTTCCATAGCATCGGACCCCAGGATGTCGTCACATCCCACTTTCTGTGGGACCCACGAGGTCACGGGTCATTCATGAAAGAAAAGACAACAGGAGCGAAGTCACAAACCATTTCCCGGAGAGCTGAAAAGTTTCACCAACACGGGAGAGTTAACAAATATTTATTGGATACCCAGTATGTGCACTGTGAGACTGTCAGGCTATGCTTCCGTCCGGAGGAGGAGGCCTTCTCGCGGCAAACACAGCCTGTCCTCTTTGGCATTGCTACTCGACTGTCCTGTCTGAAGCCCTGAATTACACCTATCCGATTGTCTTGTGGGAGACGTGGGTGAATTTCAGCCCGACGTGAAGCATTAAGCACAAATGACAAGCGAAGGGGCCTCACAAGGGTCCACTGGAATTCACCTCGTGCTTCCGAATCGTCTTGTGTAGAGACAAAGAAGGAATGTAGACCATGGGACAATTATTCCCAGCTGTAAATTATAGAATGTTTGGCTACGGTCTTAGAATTTTAGCAGCTCTTTATAGATTCTATGACGCTTGCTAGTCTTACATTTCCTAGCAAAGGATATAGGCTACCTAGGTTAAAAAAAAAAAATCCATTCAGAAATGAAGTAACCAGGGTCCACAATCCCTTGTTTGAAATCCCAGGGCCAGATGCACTTCAGAACTCTGGGTTCTTGGACTGCAGGAAGGTAACTAGCATATTATACATAAGATGTGGGGACATCGATGATGTTTCTAAAACTCACACACTGAGTGGGATAAACATAACTGAAGACAGTCTCCTCAGTTCAAGGCAGCTTTGCAAACAAATTCAAGTTACCTTATATTTTACAGCCAAATAAATTGTCCATTTTGCAGCTCTTTGGATTTTAGAATTACAAATAAGGGATTGTGACACTGTATCACTAAGAATGCATAAGAACAATGAGACATTTAACAAATTGACTAATCAGACACGGTGGGTGGAGACTATTTTAAAGCTGAAAGAGATCTGAATAGTGTGTGTGTGTGTGTGTGTGTGTCTGTGTGTGTGACTGTGTGTGTGAGTGTGTAAGTGTGTGAGTCTGTGCGTGAGTGTATGTATGTGTGTGTGTGAATGTGTATGAGTGTGTGTGTGTATGTGAGTGTGTGTGAGTATGTGTGTGTATGTGAGTATGTGGGTGTGTGTGGGTCTGAATGTGTGTGTGAATGAGTGTGTGTGTGACTGTATGTGAGTGTGTGTGTGTATGCGAAAGTGTGTGTGTGTGTATGTGAGTGTGTGTGTGTGAGTATGTGTGTGTATGCGAGTGTGTGTGTGTATGTGTGTGTGTGAGTATGAGTGTGTGTGTGAGTGTGTGTATGTGTGAGTGTGTATGCGAGTGTGTGTGTGAGTGTGAGTGTGAGTGTGTGTATGTGTGAGTGTGTGTGTATGCGAGTGTGTGTGTGTGTGAGTGTGTGTGTGAGTATGTGAGTGTGTGTGTGTGTGTGTATGTGTATGTGTGTGAGTGTGTGTATGCGAGTGTGTGAGTGTGTGTGTGCGTATGTGAGTGTGTGTGTGTGTGCGTGTGCGTGTGAGTGTGTGTGAGTATGCGAGTGTGTGTGTGTGAGTATGTGAGTGTGTGTGTATGTGTGAGTGTGTATGTGTGTGAGTGTGAGTGTGTGTATGCGAGTGTGTGTGTGAGTATGTGAGTGTGTGCGTGTGCGTGTGTGTGAGTGTGTGAGTGTGAGTGAGTGTATGCGAGTGTGTGTGTGTGCGTGTGAGTGAGTGTGTGTGTGTATGTGTGTGTATGTGTGTGACTGTGTGTGTATGTGTGTGAGTGTGTGTGTATGCGAGTGTGTGAGTGTGTGTGAGTGTGTGTGTGTGTATGTGTGTGTGTATGTGTGTGTGAGTGTGTGTATGCGAGTGTGTATGTGAGTGTGTGTGTATGCGAGTGTGTGTGTGTGTATGTGTGAGTGTGTGTGTGAGTATGTGTGTGAGTGTGAGTGTGTGTATGCGAGTGTGTGTGTATGTGTGTGTGCGTGTGTGTGTGTGAGTGTGAGTGTGTATGCGAGTGTGTGTGTGTATGTGTGTGTGTGTGTGTGAGTGTGTATGCGAGTGTGTGAGTATGTGTGTGTGTGAGTGTGTGTATGTGTGTGAGTGTGAGTGTGTGTATGCGAGTGTGTGAGTATGTGAGTGTGTGTGTGTGTGTGCGCGTGTGTGTGTGAGTGTGAGTGTGTGAGTGTGAGTGAGAGTGTGTGTGTTAGTCACTCAGTTGTGCCTGGTGTCTGACTCTTTGTGATCCCGTGGACTGGAGCCTGCCAGGCTCCTCTGTCCATGGGGTTCTCCAGGCAAGAATACTGGAGTGGGTTGCCATTCCCTTCTCCTGGGGATCTTCCCCACCCAAGGATGGAACCCAGGTCTCCCGCATTGCAGGGGGATTCTTTACCGTCTGAGCCCCCAGGGAATCCCTGTGTGTGCTGCTTTAATCTAACCTCATAGTGCTGGTTCAACTTTACCGGAGCCATGGTTTAACTTTTAGAGAAAATCAGATCTGGGACCAAGGTCTTTAGACTCCACTGAATATAGACATTGAGTTACTTCCCTGAAAAGCCCGGTATTTGTCATTGCACATAGCCCCCTCCCTTTGCTTATTAATGTAACGGAACGCTCCCACATCTCACTTCTGCGCGTGGCGAGAAGCTCAGAGCTTTGGGTCCACGCAGCAGCCCCTGCTTCCCAGCCCGCGCCCTGAGTCCCCTCCAGCAGAAGTGAGGCTGTGATCTTCCCGAGACCCCGCCAGAGCGATGCAGGGGCCCCTGGCTCTAAGCTGTCCCTGGCTTCACTCACTCTGATGCCACCGCCGGGTGACTGCCGTCTGATGCTGCCACTCTGCCGGTCCGCAGTCACAGTGCCTTCCACGGGGACGTGAGGATAAAACCACCCGAGTCTTCCGGCAGCAAACGGCCCTTTGCAAGCTCCTCCTCCTCCACTCACCACCCTCAGCATCCCCCAGCTCCTGCCTGCCTCCTCGTTCTCTGACCACTGAACCATTCCTGCAGCCCGTGATTCCTGCACCACCGGCTTCCCCTCCCCGCTTCCCCCACGCCCCTCTTCCGGACCTAGCTCCTCTCCCCAGCAGCCCTTCGAGTTTCCCAGGTCCCCGCGTCTGAGAAGCAGCTTGCCCTCCCGCTGAGCTCTGCACACACCTCCACTGCCAAGCTTCTGTGTTCATCTCGCTTTCTCTCCCTCTGGGCTGCGATGGGGAGGGAAAGGGTGTGGTTTTAGGTGTCTGATCTCCCTAGCCCCTTACAGGATGCCTGGCGCAAAGTGGACTGTTGGGAGATGTTTGTTGAACGAATGAATGATCATTATTACCTCACATATCCCATCTATACAAACATTACGGCTATCCTCCGAGCATGGAGTCCCATCTGTGACTTTATTTGACAAAGAAAAGAAGAAATCAAATCCTTCTGCGATACAGTAGAGTTTGCAGAAGTCCTGATCTTAAAAAGAAATACACACACAAACACAAATAAGAAAGATACTTAAGCTCTGATCACTTTTTGCTCTAAATGTTATAGACTTTTTTTTCTTTTTTTGCCCATAAAAACTCACATACAATTAATACATAGCAAAGACATTTTAAAAATTGCCTCTTTCAGCTTTGTTTTCCCCTTCATTTTTAAATTATTTTTTAAAGCTTCACTACTAATTTTTACTCTACTGTGTCCTTTATTGATCCTCATTCTATACACAGTGGTTGGCACATAGCAGGCATTCAATAAACATTTGTTGACTTGAACTACATTACTGTTCAACTATTTTACTAGTATGATAAACTGATCTGTGTAGAAATGCAAAAAACCACTGCCATTTTGCAGCAATATACAAAATTCTTACAAATAAAGTACAATAAAATAATTTAAATAATCACAAAATTTCTTAATAGCTACTACATTTACTAAAACACAACATTTTTAAACTGATAAAGGGAATAACTTTTGGATGAAATCTCCAAGGAATATTGGTTTTTCTTAATAAATATAATGAATTGCCAAAAATATTGTCACATGGAGAATATAGATCTCATTAGGTACTTAAGATTGGAAGATCAAGTTCACACCCTCTCTCAGTAATCCATTTCAAGGATTTATGATTTATATGGCTAATACAAACTTCAGTAGAATTTTTTTTTTCCTTTTGTTCTCTTCTCAGTAAAGAAGGGAACAGTTGATAACAAATCTTTATCTGCCTTAGGAGTTTTCATTGGCCCAGGGCTCATATACAAATATGTTACTGTGCAGGGTAAGAGAACTGACTGAATAATTCTAAGAATCAAATTTAATATGTGTTTCAATGATCAATGAACATATTTACTGAAGACTAGGAAAACCAGAAATAGCACACATATTTTTTGACCCTGATCTCAAAGTTCTTTCTCCTTTATTCTCCTGCCTACTTGTTTCTCACTGGCTTAATTTTTACTGAGTTTGGAAGTAATAACCCAACAAAAAAGGCTTTGTGTAAAACTGCTTCTATTTTCCTTCCAGAATTTACTGATTTCATAAACCTCTCACCATGATAACATTACATATATTGAGATAGTTAAAGTAAGTGCCAGGTGAGATAAGGCCCAACTTATGTATTTCCCACGTATTTCCTGATAATATTCTCAATTCCAAAGAACACGATGATTAGGTGTTCTTTGAATTTATTCTCAAACTATACTACTTGAGCTACTGAGTTCAAGTTATTATAATGATAGGAATAATGCATATTCCTCTCCACCTGGAGAGTAAAATCTTACATACAGTACAAATAAACTTCTTGGTTTCTAAGTTATAGATCAAACCTTTCCAAATACAGTATACTATCTGATTTTCCAAAAGATATGGACATTTTTCTTTAATTTTTCAGCTAATCATTCAATGGGCGATACACTCATTGCCATATCGCCATCAACTACTGTGATTTGTAATTTTAAAAGAATTGATTCATTATCAGTAAATCATTTACTTTGAGTGTTTTATCACTTCTTTAAAGATTTCACGGTATTTTGTATAGACTCACTCTCTAGCTTGCTGTTTTTCTGAGCACACAGCTGTTCAGGTTTAGATAAGATGCTTCGGGGCAGGTAGAACAGACCTAACAACCAGAACAGACCCTGTGACTGGCCTCACAATATTCGGTCTACCTGGACCCACTCTACAGACCATTAGTTCTTTAAAGAGTGAAGAAGCCTCGGCTGCTGCCAGAAGGCATGATTTGAGATTTACCTTCCACGCGGGTGTACGGCTTCCACTTGTAGAACCATCCTCGGAACCGTTTGTCGTTGAACTCGGCGCACTGCTGGGCGCGAAAGTCGACGCTGTTGTGGGGACATGTGTGACTGTTGCAAAGCTTCAGAGTTCGCGTGGGGCCCACACAAAACTTGCCTCCATGCGATGGTCTGGAATGCAGAGTTCACAGTTAGAAACTTGCCTTTGGACAGCTACTCACCGCTCCCTTGAATCGGGCTTGTTAGGGAGAGGGAGTGGGTAATGTTAATGTATTTACTATCACGAGTCAAGGAAAGCACCTTTCTAAGAAGCTCCGAGCACTTCTTACATACTTACAATACGGGTAGTAGTGTTTTCCCTTTTTATCAAAGCGCCTTTCTAAGAAGCTCCGTGCACTTCTCAAATACTTACAATACGGGTAGTAGTGTTTTCCCTTTTTATTGGGTGTATTATTTGCAACATTGACACAGCAGGTTAGAACTTTGAAAGTGAGTGGCATGTATTTGCTCATCTCCCTGTAGGAGGCAGGTGAGCACCTCTGTTCTCTGAATTTTAAAAAGCAGAGCATGACTAAGGAAGGGCAGTGGTGAAAAAGCAGAAATGAGCCTGAAATTCAACTGCTTCACTTTCCAGATGGCAGCTTCTTTCCACTCCCAGCTTCCTTGTGACAAGACCAGGACATCAGATGGGGACGGGATGAGCAGTCATCCGCCACTGGTTGCAAGGGACAGTAAACCCCCCCTTCACCCCTAGAATTCAGGCGGGCACCCCAGAAGGGGAGCATCCTGCTGAAGCAGGAGACCAACTGGGTCTCATGCATTAAAGACAGGACTAACAGAAATCATTTTACTCAGATCAACATAAGTTAAACAAACAAAGGTGTGCAATGAGGACTGAACAGCCCTTTCGCGCCACTGCACTGAGGCCTGCTGCTAACATCCTTGTCTGCTACAGAAGACACAACGAAACCACACACTGTGCAGGGAAATCTATTTGATGAAAAACCGAGGCTGTTTTTCTCACTTGAAAAAACTGTTCTTACTGGTTCTCATTCATTCGTGTTCTCTAAACCTTTCTCATGACTTCTTTCCATAGTTTAGGCAGAAACTTGATATCTCATGTAAACATGATTACAACTGCGTTCCTGAATATTGCTGTTGGGTCTGTTACTCCTGGGGCTTCCCTGGCAGCTCAGCGGTAAAGAATCTGCCTGCAATGCAGGAGACTTGGGTTCAACTCCTGGGTTGGGAAGATCCCCTGGAGAAGGAAATGGCAACCCACTGCGGGGGTTTGCCTGGGAAGTCCCTCGGAGGAGCCTGGTAGGTCCACGGGGCTGCAAAGGGTTATACATGACTGAGAAGCTGAGCAGGCATGCAGTGTTACTTCTGCTGTGTCAGATAGTTATGGGCACCCTAAATTACACTACAGAGACATCCCTCTACAATAAATGCCAGAGTGCAAGGGCTTTCTGACTTCGAATTCTCCTGTAGTAATACGCGAAGTACAGAATTATTTTCACTGAGCTTCCTTCCATGTACTAGTTTGGGAAGTTTGTCACAGAGATATGGCTCGCCGGTGAGGAGGGAGGTCTGAGCGCTCACCTGGGGTTTGTGCAGAGTCTGTCCCTGTGAGACACCCCTCCTCCACAGGTCCTGGAGCAAGGGGACCAGGGAGACCAGTCTGACCAGTGACCGTGAGTGGGCTTGGGGCCTTCGTCACCGTATTTCACACACTGCCCTCCGCGGCACCACTGAAAATTAAACCAAAAACAAAAGCAGTGATATGACTGTGGGTGGAGACTGGCTTCATCACTACAACAATGCTCAGCCCTGGGAACTTGGTGATATAAGCAGACATTAGTCTCCCTACCCTCAGGAGCGCATAATGAAAATGCATTTAATGATGCTTCTTGTTTTTACTTGAAGTATAACTGCTTTATAACATTGTGTTAGATTCTGCTGTGCCACAGAGTGAGTCAGCCACACGGACGCATACATCCCCTCCTTCTTCGCCCCTAGGTCACCACGGAGCGTCAAGCTAAGCGCCCTGTGTCATAGGGCAGCTTCCCACCAGCTGTCTATTTCACACAGTCGTGTCTACATGTCAACGCTGCTCTTCTCTTTTTATTTCCAAAGTCAGCCTTGTTCTGTAAATCCACATGCAGGGAAGGTACACAGAAAACTAATTTTCAGACGTCTGTCTAAGCTGCTGGAATCTCACATGTGTAGTCCAGTTTTGTTGCAGGAACATGTAGTCCGACTGTTCACCTCTCAGGCGTGTGAACTCTAACCTCCCCTGGCAACAACACTCTCTTCATCTATTGCTGTCAGAAGAGACTGACTGTCGGACAGAAAAGTCCAGCTGGAGGGGCTGTGTGTCTCAACACCTTGTCATTTCTGTCCGGCGCTTCATGCTTTTGCTCCGAGGCACCTGGGCTGGGAGCCTGGAGGCTTTAAATGATGCCTGTCAGAGGTCACACAGCTTTCCGAGGACATGAAACAACCCACACAGGGCTCCACCTGTCCCAGTGAGGCCAGAGATGCTATCAGCTCCCCTTTCTCCAGAGAAGTGCCCATTGATGTTATTCTGCTAAAGTCCACGTGGTTTCTTCACTTGCACCCCGAGCAAAAGCTACACAAGATACAGTGTTGCATTCAGCTGCATTGGTTTTCTCACTGGGCACAATTGGCATTCTGATGGCAAACACTGTGTAGCAGACTATAAAGTAATAATTTTAAGAGAGCAAAAACAACCTATCAATATTCATATGGTCGCTGAAAACAGTTAATGATTCCGTGTAGTACTTGGTGTCTACTGGATACATTCTCCTTAAGATGCAGAAAACACTGGGTTTTAAAGTCACTTGGATAATTCCTCTGTCATGGTCATGGTTAAGCCAATACCTTGACTTAAAGCCTAAATGAGACTTGTTTAGTTTAAATTATTTCATTTTGCTTGGGATGTTTATAAATTACTTTAAAAAATTTGATCTAGTTTTATTTTAAAATGACATAAAGGGTTTACATGACATACAAGTTTGTTTTAAAATGACATAAAGAATCAAATTGCCAACATCCATTGGATCATAGAAAAAGCAAGAGAATTCCAGAAAAACATCTACTTCTGCTTAATTGACTATGCTAAAGCCTTTGACTGTGTGGATCACAACAAACTGTGGACAACCTTCAAGATATGGGAACACCAGACCATCTTACTTGCTTCCTGAGAAAGCTGTGTGCAGGTCAAGAAGCAACAGTTAGAACCAGACACGGAACTACAGACTGGTCCCAAATTGGGAAAGGAGGATATCAAGGCTGTATATTGTCACCCTGCTCATTTAACTTATATGCAGAGTACATCATGTGAAATGCCAGGTTGGAGGAAGCACAAACTGGAATCAAGATTGTTGGGAGAAATATCAATAACTTCAGATATGCAGATGACACCACCCTTAAGGCAGAAAGTGAAGAACTAAAGAACCACAAAGTGAAAGAGGAGGGCGAAAAAGCTGGCTTAAAACTCAACATTCAAAAAATGAAGATCATGGCATCCAGTCCCATCACCTCATGGCAAATAGATGGGGAAACAATGGAAACAGTGATAGACTCTTTTCTTGGGCTCCAAAATCACTGCAGATGGTGACTCCAGCCATGAAATTAAAAGACACTTGCTCCTTGGAAGAAAAGTTATGAAAAACCTAGACAGCATATTAAAAAGAAGAGACATTTTTCAACAAAGATCCATAGAAACAAAACTATGATTTTTCCAGTAGTCAGGCATGGATATGAGTGTTGGACCATAAAAAAGGCTGAGCACTGAAGAACTGATGCTTTTGAACTATCGTGTTAGAGAAGACTCTTGAGAGTCCCTTGAACTGCAAGGAGATCAAATCAGTCCATCCTAAAAGAAATCAGTCCTGAATATTCACTGGAAAGACTGATGCTGAAGCTAAATCTCCAATCCTTTGGCCACATGATGCGAAGAGCCAACTTATTGGAAAAGACCCTGATGCTGGGAAAGATTGAAGGCAGGAGGAGAAGGGGACGACAGAGGATGAGATGGTTGGATGGCATCACGAACTCAATGAACATGAGTTTAAGCACGCTCTGGGAGATGGTGAAGGACAGGGAAGCCTGGTGTGCTGCAATCCATGGGGTCGCAAAGAGTCAGACATGGCAGAGCAACTGAACAACAAAGGGTTTAGGTAATGTTTTCCTGAAAGTTGGAGTTTATTCTTTTATTTTTTGACATAAGCAAATAATTTAGATTAATCATTCCTTTTCTTTCATAAATGACCCCATGTTATTCACATCTTTCTCCATTCTGTTTTTTCATTTAACACTATATTCTGCAGTTCATTCCACAGAAGAAGGTAGACACATCCTTCACTCCTTTGTTGCAGCAACAAAACTTTCCATTAAGTGTATTTCCAATCCATTTCCTTTGGATGAACACTCGCATCATTTCCAGTCTTTTGCTTTTATAATCATTGCTTCAATAATTGTATTGCAAAAACCAGCATCTTTTTTGCTGTTTTTGTCAGAGTGTGCTTTTGTAAGATTGAAGTGCAGTTTATTTACAATGCTGTGCTGCTTTCAGGTGTATGGCAAAGTGATTCAGCTATACTTACATAAATATGCATTTTTTTCAGATTCTTTTCCCTTATGGGTTATTATACAATATTGAATATAGTTCCCTGTGCTATAAAGTAGGTCCTTGCTGTCTTTTACATATAGTGATGTGTATCTATTATCATTCTCTCTGGATATATGACCAAGATTATCCTTAAATGACTATTTTTAAAAATTATTTTTAAAAAGTTATTCTTTGTGACTTTGAGGAGAAACCACTACATCTTCTCCCAAGGAAGTTGCATGTAGACACACAAACATAAACATGCATGCACACAATTTTGAGCATAATTTCTCACAGGTTGCAGACCCGTGCAGTTGGTGACTGAGGTGGTCAGGGTGAGATCCTTATGTTAAACAGACACACAAAATGTCTGCAGAAGCACTGGTTATATTTCTAAGAACCATCCCATTTGCTCACAGTTTTATATTTTATCGATGACTTGAAAGAAGGCTTTCTCTTGGGCAGTGTGATGTCACCGTGAAGCACACATCCTGTGGTGATACTGACCACGGAATCCACTGTCACTCTGAAACCCAGTACAGACGGGGAAGCAGCATAATGGGTCATGAAAACTGATGTTGTGGAGGTGAAAACGAGCCCCACATATCAGCTCAGCCAGGTGCCTGACCTGAGCATGGACTCAGGTGCCCCGAGCCTGCCCGGCCTCCTCTGAGCATCAGGGATGATGGAAACCACCAGACAGGGTTGGCCCAGGAACCCAAGGTAATGGCCTAGTCCTTGTACCAAAAGTTATCACAAAGTGAGAGCTGGTTTAATTTTACATTAGGGATTACTGAAGAACTGGAATCTACTTTGTCATGCATCCAGGCTGTGGTCCTCATCCCCTTGCTATGGATTTCTCATGGCGTGAGCACAGAGAACCCAGTGTCTTTTTCCTGGAAGAGTTATTGGGTTTATAGTGGGGGCTACCGTATGTTTATCCTCTGGATGCTTGTGGGGATACAATGTATATAACGCTCCAAAGACGGCACTTGTCACTAAAAGATGCACTGACCACTGATCAGGTGCACCAGCATGCATGTCCACCCAGAACCTCGGTGTTGCAGCTGGTGGAGAGGAATAGGCTCCCATTCAGGAGAGAGATGCACAGACGCTGAAGAGCTGCTGTCAGTTATCTAGAGCATACCCACCACCCTGGAATACCCCAAAGTGCTGGGACACTGACTTTTGGTAATGCTGGCTTCTCAGTCAGGACACCTCACAGACACCTGTGGACCAGTGATGCACAAAGACACACAACTAACACCAAAGGAACTTTTACAGGGGCCTCTGATGCTTGTCCCATCCTGCCACTGGGCACCCATGTGATTCTAGGCAGAATACTTAATGCCGTGCAATTTGTAAGGATCCATTCTAGCTTAATATGCGCTAATTCTTTTCAATTTGAAGGAAAAAGCTCTATTTGGAAACATAATGAAAAAAATTAATACCAGTGAAAATCAGCAACAGAGGATGAAACAGTTGGATGCCATCACTGACTCAATGGACATCAGTTTAAGCAAACTCCAGGAGATAGTGAAAGACAGGGGAGCCTGGTGTGTACTGTAGTCCATGGGGTCCCGAAGAGTCAGACACAACTTAGCAACTGAATAACAACAACTGTGCTTTCAAGGTAAACAGAATGCAATGATAATACAGGGGCAGCACCACAGTTATTACATCATCCCAGAAAAATAGTAGATTTTAAAGAAAGCAGGCTGCCTGGAGAGCCATGCCATACTGGTGTGAACCATCACCAGGGCAACAAGGGAGGGCTGCCAATCTTTCAAGAAATCAGCATAATTCTGAAAACTATCAAATTTGCAATCAAGTATGTGCAGGGAGTTGTGATCACCTGCAGCTTAAAGCTCAGATAAATTCCCTGGTTAAAGTGTCAGTCACTCAGTCATGTCCAACTCTTTGTGACCCCATGGACTGTAGCCCATCAGGCTCCTCTGTTCATGGAATTCTCCAGGCAAGAATACTGGAGTGGGTAGCCATTTCCTTCCTCAGGGGATCTTCCTGACCAAGGATAGAACCTGAGTCTCCTGCATCATGGGCAGATTCTTTACCATCTAAGCCACCAGGGAAGCCAAATTCCCTGGTATCCTGTGACAACTGGTATTTCTACACTGCAGTACCTCAGCAAATGCATTTCCTCTTTAGACAAACTGTTGTTGTTCAGTCATGTCTGACTCTTTGTGACCCCATGGGCTGCAGCATTCCAGGCTTTCCTGTCTCTCACCATCTCCCTGAGTTTGCTCAAGTTCATGTCCACTGAATGCCGTCCAACCATTTTATCCTCTGTCACTCTCTTCTCCTTCTGTCTTTTGAGAAACGAAAAGCATTCTTATTAGACTCTTTTGTTACGGATTAATTTATTGCTGTCTATATCACTAGACAGATTTAAATATCAATCTTACCCTTGGAAAGTCTGACAATAAAGCATATTAACACGTGTAGGATGAATGGTTGCTAGGTGCTATTCCTAAGCAAATTTACCTCATTTCTCTTCATTTTCTCAGTCAGTATTACAATAATTTAACCCGAAAGCATGTTAACATTGTTTCTTAATACTTTAAACCCTTTCTTTCTGTACTACCATTTAAATATGTTAATAGTGTAACAAGGTTTACTTCAGACTTTAAACTAGATCAATAATATTCAGGCATATGTTTCTTTTTTGTACTTGTTAGCATCACAAATAAGTTCAGACACATAGAATGAAAATGGTTATGGTGACAATTTGGTTCTGACATATTTCTATCTTTATCAATAGTTTTTATAGTCTGAAAAATATAATTGCAGCTTAAATAAAAAGAATTAAAATATCACTCTTGAGTGTTAAGAGAATTTAATTTTCAGTTTTAATGACAGAATTCTCATTGTCTCCCAGTCAGTAAATAAACTTGCCATCTTATGAATTTCCTCTTTTCCCCAGGACAGCATCTTATTTTCCCAGGAGCAATAGTCAAAAGGGTCTGTTCCACAGTCTTCAATGGATGCTCTGAGGCTTTGTCAGAACTACTGAACACTAGTTCTTTGTATGATTACAAGGTAGTTGAGAGTTTAACATTCCCCCTCATTAAACAGAATCAGCCATCACTTGCTGCCTGACATCAGTGTCCAGTGATTGCAGTTATCTCATCAATGCATCACTAAAAAAGTGAGAAGGGGAGTCCTCTTCATAGAATTAATATAAAATAAGCAATCTTTTGGCATATTATAGATAGGATCATATAGATCAGGAAGACAGGCTTATAAACAGGAAGACAAAAGGAGGAAGGATACATGGCTGAAAGGCTGACATCTGAATATGATGTCTGCACCTAAGACAAACTTCTTACCATGTCATGCCCACAAGTAGTGCCTTCTGCAGCTGGCATAAATTTAGTCTCACATTTCCTTCCAATCCGGTGGCACCATAGGGCTTTACAGATATCCTGAAATGGAAAGAAGGTCATTAGTATTACAAATGGTCCACACAGCTGTGATAAAATGTTGTTGATGTTTAGTTACTAAGTTGTATGTGACTCTTTTGCAACCCCATGGACTGTAGCCTGCCAGGATCCTGAGTCCATGGAATCGTCCAGGCAAGAATACTAGAGTGAGTTGCCATTTCCTCCTTCAGGGGATCATCCTAACCAGGGATCAAATCTTCACCTCTTGATTTGGCAGGTGGGTTCTTTACCATTGAGATACCTGGAAAGCCCAGTGTCACTGAAAAATTTAAGGGAAAACAACTGATATAAATTAAAAGCTAATGTCTACTTAGGAGTAGATATACATGGTAGACTAAGGACCCAGGAAGTTTCATGTTCTAGACACTGTCCAACTTCATTATATCCCCAAAACTCTATTTATTTCTAGTTTTTCATCATACATTTAACAAAATTATACTTTTTAAGTTAAAAATAAAATATGTTTAATCCAGATATTGAAGAAAATTACAAATAATTAAAAATTAAGAAATTAAAAACCAATAACACAACATTTTATAAGTCGCTCTTGCTCCAACCTTTCACTAACCTCTGCAACTCTGAATCCTCATTTCCATGTTAAAGATGGTTATGAAACTTGCTGACATGTCCATTTCTCTAGCCAGTCATCCATTCATTCATTTACCCACCCAGCCACCATCCCCAAATTTTTCATGAAGGTCTAGAATGTGCCAGCTATTTAGCTAGGCATGAGGTTCCTTAAGCAATATGACCAGAGCTACTCCCTCAAGAATGGTCTTAGAGGGGGTAGATCTGGTGTAAACTGCCATCAGTGCACACGGAAGAAGTTCCCCTGCTACAAGGGAAAGAACATGGTGCAGGGCAAGCTTGCCAAGAGAAAAGAACTTCACTTGAAGGACCCAGGAAAGGAGTGGGAGAAGATGGACAGATGAGTCAAGTCTTCAGATCAAGTATGGCCCTTTCTGAAGAGAAGGAATGAAGGGGTCATGCAAAGGAAGATGAGAAAGAACAATGGTATGTGCAGAGGAAGGAAGCTCAGCATGGTTGATTCGTCAGCAAAACAAAACAAGATCTGAAGTTTAATCACAATAAAAAGCCTCTCCAACTGTAATAAATTATTTATGCTTTCAGATCCAAAGGACCATCTTCATGATAGGTAGACCGTTGGGCTCATGAAATGGTGGGACCGGCAGGAAAGCTGGTGGGGGCCACAGTGTACATGATGAAAACATTTCTTAAATGACCTGTACAACTGTTCTGAATACTTGAACCAGTACTGCACTATTTCCCAAGACATTTAATACCTGCATCTACAGGGTGCTTCATGTTATAAAGAAAATGCAACACAGCAAAACCTCCACATGGTTCTGTCTGAAAGGTGGCATTTCATGGCGTCTATGCCTCCACTCCCTGTTTCAGACGGCGCCTCAGGGCGTCTGTGCCTCCACTCCCTGTTTCAGACGGCGCCTCAGGGCGTCTGTGCCTCCATTTCCTGTTTCAGATGGGGCCTCAGGGCGTCTGTGCCTCCACTTCCTGTTTCAGATGGCGCCTCGGGGCGTCTGTGCCTCCACTCCCTGTTTCAGATGGCGCCTCAGGGCGTCTGTGCCTCCACTCCCTGTTTCAGATGGCGCCTCAGGGCGTCTGTGCCTCCACTCCCTGTTTCAGATGGCGCCTCAGGGTGTCTGTGCCTCCACTTCTTGTTTCAGACGGCACCTCGGGGCGTCTGTGCCTCCACTCCCTGTTTCAGGGTGCCTCACGGCGTCTGTGCCTCCACTCCCTGTTTCAGATGGCACCTCAGGGCGTCTGTGCCTCCACTTCCTGTTTCAGATGGCGTTTCACGGCATCTGTGCCTCTACTTCCTGTTTCAGATGGTGCCTCAGGGCGTCTGTGCCTCTACTTCCTGTTCCAGATGGCGCCTCAGGACGTCTGTGCCTCTACTTCCTGTTTCAGATGGCGCCTCGGGGCGTCTGTGCCTCTACTTCCTGTTTCAGATGGCGCCTCGGGGCGTCTGTGCCTCTACTTCCTGTTTCAGACAGCGCCTCGGGGCGTCTGTGCCTCCACTCCCCGTTTCAGGGTGCCTCAGGGCATCTGTGCCTCCACTCCCTGTTTCAGATGGCGGCTCAGGGCGTCTGTGCCTCCACTTCCTGTTTCAGATGGGGCCTCAGGGCGTCTGTGCCTCCACTCCCTGTTTCAGACGGCGCCTCAGGGCGTCTGTGCCTCCACTCCCTGTTTCAGATGGGGCCTCAGGGTGTCTGTGCCTCCACTCCCTGTTTCAGACGGCGCCTCGGGGCGTCTGTGCCTCCACTCCCTGTTTCAGACGGCGCCTCGGGGCGTCTGTGCCTCCACTCCCTGTTTCAGACGGCGCCTCGGGGCGTCTGTGCCTCCACTCCCTGTTTCAGACGGCGCCTCGGGGCGTCTGTGCCTCCACTCCCTGTTTCAGACGGCGCCTCAGGGCGTCTGTGCCTCCACTCCCTGTTTCAGACGGCGGCTCAGGGCGTCTGTGCCTCCACTCCCTGTTTCAGATGGCGGCTCAGGGCGTCTGTGCCTCCACTCCCTGTTTCAGATGGCGCCTCAGGGTGTCTGTGCCTCCACTCCCTGTTTCAGATGGCGGCTCAGGGCGTCTGTGCCTCCACTCCCTGTTTCAGATGGCGCCTCGGGGCGTCTGTGCCTCCACTCCCTGTTTCAGATGGCGCCTCGGGGCGTCTGTGCCTCCACTCCCTGTTTCAGATGGCGGCTCAGGGCGTCTGTGCCTCCACTCCCTGTTTCAGATGGCGCCTCGGGGCGTCTGTGCCTCCACTCCCTGTTTCAGACGGCGCCTCAGGGTGTCTGTGCCTCCACTCCCTGTTTCAGATGGCGCCTCGGGGCGTCTGTGCCTCCACTCCCTGTTTCAGATGGCGGCTCAGGGCGTCTGTGCCTCCACTCCCTGTTTCAGATGGCGCCTCAGGGTGTCTGTGCCTCCACTCCCTGTTTCAGATGGCGGCTCAGGGAGTCTGTGCCTCTACTTCCTGTTTCAACGACGCTAGAGATGAGGTCACACGGGGCTTTCTGCATTGTATGAGTGACTGCTTAAAAGATTTCCATTTTAGCAATTCATATGGATTTTACCTTCACAAAACTTAATTCTCAAATCTCCATAAATTTATTGATTATATATTTAAAAGTTAAAGTATTTGTTAGAGACACACACAGCCTCCCCTCCCCCCCACCCCCACTTGTATCTCTTTCACTGAAACGCTAACTTTTCAGAACATGGAATTTTAAGAAGCTTTTCATGTTTTAATTTGGATATCAATTCATTGCTTTTATTTTGAGCTGTTCATAGTATCTTCCTATGGTTGCAATCACTGTACCATTTTCTCTGGAGCCTGACAGAATCATGAAGTGCTACTGGGGCAAACATATCATGCCTGGTGGTGAGTGCCGTGCCTGGCTCTCATGACATTAATCAGCATGCTACACCAGGGGGTCTCTGTTCTTGGCCAGCATGGTGTTTAGAGATCAGAGCCATAAGAAGACCTAAAGGCATCCATAAAATGACGGGGCAGGGTGTCTGCAAGTCTCCAAAGAGACAACTGGGAAGCTCTGTTTGCATGGATGATGCCGTGACAGAAAACCAGGATACAAATAGAACTTCCTTAAAATCAGAACTTGTGGACCTAGGCTCAATGTCTGGGTGGGATTTGACCAATCACACACAGACTGCAGACAGTGGTGCAGGGTAGGGGTACCCGCCCTGCAGTGACCTACTGATTCAGGCGGCTGGGCAAGCACAAGCAAACGGAAACACACGCAGATGGGTGAATGACCCATGAGGGAACGATTTGCTCCTATGGCTGGGTTAGCAGGAGATGGACACAGAGGCCCAGGGGAGGGTTTGGGCTTCTGAGACGGTATCTGGTGTGAACTGGGCAGGACAGATTGGGCAGGCAGAACCCGGGTATCCTCCTTGTATATAGCTGCTGATCAACTTGTCCCGGGGGCCGCATGAAGTGTCGGAGGTCCTGTGCCCCCCTCAGGGCTTGGCACCCCACAGGCACCAAACTCATGCCAGTGTCCTTTCTCAATTCCGTCCTGAGGAGATGTGAGCCCAGTCCCAGCTCCCAGCCTGGTTCATGGCTGCGGCCGGAGGGAGACAGTGCTACTAATTCCTGGGACAGTTTCAGAGATGATGGAAGAGGGTAAAATAAATGGGGCTTTAAAATGTTAAATTATTTTTATGTTTTTGTCATCGATACCTGGAACAGTGCTTAGCACCTGGCTGGCTTTCAATAAATGTTTTGTGAGTGAGTCAAACATCTGTTAGTTTGTTTCTGTGGAAACCTTGGACAGAGTGAGCAGAAACTTCTTGTGTAAAATGATCATAACAGTGATCAGTGGATTGTGATCATGAAAACATCTAAGATGATTTAGGAGGGTAACATTATGATATGAAAACACTACACTGAGACGACTGCTAAAAGTATTTTCATAATCGTCTTACATGATAGTTTTGGGTAACATTCTGCAGAATATAGACATATAGATGGAAGACACTAATGAAAGTGACAGTTTTTACGTTTTTCAAGTAAGAAGCTCTCACATAGAGGATGCTGGTGGCAGTCAGCTCACCACTAAATCATATGTCTACTTCAGCCTGTGCCCAGTTTATGCCATCTGTGTATTTCAGCCCCATCCTTCAAACTGCTCCATCCCCAATTCTAGGTCCCCAGGTAGAAATAAATCAAGAGTTACAAAAGCCTTGAAATATATAATTCATGTTACTGTCTTCTAACATTTCAAAAAGTATTCAAGGCTTTGGTGTCTTTATAGATGTAAATGCTGGCCACTTAATAACAATGTGACATTCTATCCTGGAAAACAAATAGAAACCCTAGTATATCAAACGATGTTTATATTATTATCTAAACAACTCAAATCCAATTATTCCCTCTTGGTTTTATCATATTTTGACTTTACTGTTAACTTCTGGATTAAGAACAAAG